TAATGGTTGTATTGATGTATAGCAACTTGAAATGCTCCCAAAAATGGCACTACAGCATGTAAAAATATAATATAAGCTCTGGCGGACTTGGTTCTATGGTAGGTCTTAAAGGGTTAATAAGCGGCATGAATGTATCGCTTTCTGTTATGGGAAATGTATTTGTATATTACCTCTCAAATACAAATAAGTTATTCAAGTTGGTTTACAAGATTAAATTAAAACCAAAAACAACAGAAAAAAGACAGAAATGATATCCATGATACAGCCTTGTGATACAGTCAGTGAAACTAAATTCCTCATCTATGATTTCACCAAAATTTTCCAACCAGGTTGAGGTCTTCAGTGCCCTCTAGATTCAAGTTGTGAATTAAGGTGTAATCATGGATCTTTGTTGCCAAACAGGAGAATCTCAGTTTTGTCTCTATTTAGTTGAAATAAATTTTTATTTCATCCACTTTTTTTAAGGCAAAAAACATAATGAGTTAACATTGTTTGGCAAGAGAGGGTTGTTACTTTTCTAAATCTATGTATCCTGTATTAATCCTGTAGGAAATTGTTTAGTCCTCTGCATTTAACCCGTTCACTCAGCGAATCAAGGATTGGTAGAGACGGTACCTTACTCAAGGGTACCTAAGGGGTAACTGAGTAGCTATCCCTGCCCCAACTGGGGTAACGTTGCCTTTACTCCTTGTTTTCAGGCATCTTCAGAAACAAAGTTGAGATGTACAGTGTTCCTAAAAATCAATAAAAAAACAAAGAGATGTGATGTTTTTGGAACATGCAGAAAACCTTGAACAAGAGCTAACTGCAGTCACCCTCACACAGGTTGTAGGACCCTTGCAAGTAAAAGCTGTGTTATTGCTTAGAGACACTCTCCAGACAGATTGCCAACATGTTGCCGTCAGTCTGAATGAGTCGTTGTCAATAAGCACCACTTGAGGGGACTCGGCTCAAAGTCCTGAGGGGGATGCTTCAGGAATATGGGATGAATGGCCCATGTTAGGAGCTGTACGGGACCTGCACAACTGTTAGCTGGTAATAAACAGGGGTGCAGATAACTTTTCAAGTGATCTACTCAGGTGAGGACCAAGAGATGGACCAAGTCATACACAGAAGAGGCTCCCATGCGTTTTCCTGCCTGCCTTAATCACATCCATTCTGTTACAGTACTGTCTATGTCAAGCTGCAAGGTGACCTCGTATTTCTTGAGAATCCTGCAAACTGTTGTGTTTCTGAAACTGTGGAGAATTTGCTTTCTTGAGGCCATGTTGAAGGATCAAATACTAAGAAATGATTGCATGACTTGAGGAAGTCGTATCTGATTTACCCCCGGGTAACTTTGCTTGTGTCTGTCAGCATGAGCATTAGAAACAGTGTGTGCCCTATAGTGGCCTATCACTATCAAGCAGAAGGATAAACTGTCCAATGGCCACCATGAGTTCATCCTTACATTCTCCAATGATCCGCTTTTCCCTCTGAAACCTAATGGTTGTGGTCTTTAAAATGCTGCCAATGTTAAGCATGTATGCTAAAAATCATTGTTGTCACTCGTGGCCAGTTGCATTTTATTGGCTAACAATTGATAATATTTTTAACAGTTTCATGCCTCCATGCAGGCCACCTGATATTATGAAACTCGCCCAGTTTCACAAAGGGGATCCCATTTTTGTCATGCAGCTTCTTCAGTGCAGTTTTGTTTTTTGCTCCTCCACCTTTTTGCATAAAAACTGCAGCAGCTTGACCACAGAGCAATTAAATGTCTCTCAGTAAGGAATGTTGTGTTCAGCTGATTTTAAGCAATTTTCCAGTATGTGTGCCGGGCACAGAAGGTGCGCACGGGAATCCCCAACTGCAGCAAGTTGCCAGAGTTTTAGCACAACGCTATTGTACATACCTATGTTGACAGCAGCCTCGTCTGTGCACACAACGACCAACTTTGTTGCCCAGTCATCCAAGCCTGTGTCCTGGAAAAGTCTCACAAATCATCTGTTATGGCCTGTGTCTTTTGGTCAGCACCCAGTGCAGTCAGTCCAAGAAAGTCTCCGTTGTTGGACACGGACACAATTTAAACAATTTCCTTCTCGTTTTTTGTGATGTCCTCAGATCCAAATTCAGACTCCAATTTGGCTCATAACTCCCCGCTGATAGTGTGAGTGATGCTCTGCATGATCTTTGTGCCCCCTTCACATGAATGACATGCACGTCCGACGTTTACACCTAGCTGCTTCAATAAAGAAATATCCTCAGGATATGAAGACATGGGATGTGTGTGTGTTAAACTTTGTGGAAGCGAGGAGAAAAATATTAAACAGGGCTTACCTCTGTTCGTCATTTCGCTTGTCTTGCCGTCTATTAAGGGGGCAACTGCACATATCTTCTTGGATGGCTTGTTTATTAGCAATGACTCGCACCACATTCATGTGCTCCTTGCCCTTTTCCCATTTGTCAAATAAAGGATGGTTACAATTCTTTGGGCCTTTAGAAATGCACCTGATTTGTCTCTTAGATGTAGATGAGAGAGGCAAATCGTTCACCACATTTTAGTGCACAGTGGCTAACTTTTCTGAAAAAGTATTTTCTTCAGCACTAGCTCTGGTTAGCATTTCTTAGCTGGTGGCGAAACACCAAAGAAGCTACTTATTGTCGTTTTTTGGACATTTAGGTGGTGACAAGCAAAATGTGTAAGGTTAAATGACATGGTCAAGTACGCCAAAGGCACTTGGTAACACAAGTGTCACTACGCTTTCTTAATTTTTGTCACACATGCGTACCAGTTATCTGCACCCCTGGTAATGAGTCAGACTCGTTTCTGGTAGATGTTGGACTAAACCAGGGCTGCCCTTTGTCACGAGTCTGTTCAGAATTATTATGGATACAATTTAAAAGCAGAGCCAGCTGGCTGAAGGCCTCCACTTTGGTCGCTTCAGAATCTCACTTTTTGCAGATAATGGGGTTCTGTTGGCTTCATCAGATGGTGGCCTCCAGCTGTCACTGGAGTGGGTCGCAACCAAATATGAAATTGTGAGAATGAAAATTAGTACCTCCAAATCTGAGGCCATGGTCCTCAGCCTGAGTGAGCACAAGTTATTGGCCCAAGTGGAAGAGTTCATACATATATCATGGTCTTGTTCATGAGGGAAGAGGGAAGCGAGAGATTGACAGATTTGGAGACTAAAGAAACGCAGAACGTACAGTAAAACAGTCATTCTATGTCCCTCCCTCACCTATGGTCACAAGCTCTGGGTACTGACAAAAAGGATGAGATTGCAAATACAAGCAAGCAGAAATAAGTTTTCTCCAAAGGGTGACTGGCCTCTCTCCTAGAGATAGGGTGAGGAGTTTTGCCATCCGGGAGGGGCTTAGTATAGAGTCGCTACTCCTCCACATCAAAAGGAGCTGGGCATGACCCACCAGAATGAGGTCCTGGGGCAGACCCAGGACACACTGGATGGATGGCATCTCACCGCTGGCCTGAGAATGCCTCAGTGTTCCCCTGGATAAGAAGAATTGCTTTCTGCATAGACAGTGATTTTCAATGATATATCACAGTTAATTGTCAACTTGATGCCATTCAATCACAGACTGATAGCAGACACTTTGTCTGGCAGCATTTATAACAGCTTTTAGTAACAGTGTTGGTAATCTTGGCAATCTCATTTTGCTGAAAGAAAATAATAATAATAATAATAATAATAATAATAATAATAATAATAGCTGTAGTGAGAGGAGTTTATTTGGAATAAAACGGATCCTGAAAAGGTTTGAGAACATACATCGCAGTTGAAAAACTGTGTTAAACTGCAATACATGTTATTGCAATGTCCAATATTCATGTTGCAAAATGTAAATAAAAATAGCATTGTGAGGCCTGTGGTGATTCTCACCTCTACTTAGCAGGATACAATTGTACCCACACATCCGCGTTCATTTAACAGAAAACACACCAGCATCTTTATATTTCATGTACAGCATCACAAACATCCACGAAGCTGATCTTTGAAGGGTGTAAAACTAAAAAATAATTTGAATCAGTGAATTCACTTTAAGTTTCACTGCTCTATATTAGCCACATGTTCAGTATGTAGAGTTCTCCTAATCGTTCAGCTTATAATATATCTTCTCAAATTTTTGTTTTTCTACTATTTTTTTCTTCATTTGTCCATTCAGACCTCCAACAGCAGCATGTCTGTGATGAGGAGAAGGTTGTCAGAGGTCAGCAGGTCTGTAACCAGGAGAGAAACTCTAGTCTGGACCAAGACGACCCAGAGCCTCCACAGATTAAAGATGAACAGGAGGAACTCTGCAGCAGTCAGGAGGGAGAGCAGCTTGGACTGAAGCAGGAGGCTGATGCCTTCATGGACACCCTTGTTTATCAGGAAAGTTACCACAGTGAACTGGAATCAAACAGTGAGCAGCTCCTTTCTCACAGCTCTCCTGAAGTAGAAAGCAAGCATGTGGTCTCAGGATCAGCTAGAAATATAGCGCTAAAGAGGAGGAGACGTCTCAGACTTGCTGACACAAGGGAAAAGTCTCTAAAATGTGACACATGCGGAAAAGCATTTCACTTCCAATCCCACCTGAGTGCACATCTTAGAGTTCACACAGGTGAGAAACCATATTCTTGTAGCACCTGTGGGAAAAGATTCAGCCACAAATCAGCATTGGATAATCATTTAAGAAGTTACACAGGCGAGAAGCCATATCTTTGTATCACTTGCGGGAAAAGATTTGTTCAGAAGTCTCATTTGGAGCGTCATGTGAGAATTCATACAGGTGAAAAGCCGTATCCTTGTATCACCTGTGGGAAAAGATTTAATCAGAATTCAGAGCTGCAACGTCATGTAAGAATTCACACAGGTGAGAAGCCATATTTTTGTAAAACTTGTGGGAAAAGATTTGCTGACTCATCAGGACTCATAAAACACATGAGATTTCACACAGGTGAGAAACCATTTTCTTGTGGGATCTGTGGAAAAAGTTTCAGTCAGAAATCAGCATTGGAAACTCATGTAAGAACTCACACAGGCGAGAAGCCGTATTCTTGTAGCACTTGTGGGAAAAAATTCAATCAGAAATCAGGAATGAAGTCTCATGCAAGAACTCACACAGGTGAGAAACCACATTGCTGTAGCAGGTGTGGGAAAACCTTTAGCCAGAGGACACACTTAAAGAAGCACATGAGAATTCATACTGATTAAAAGTTTAAAGCTTAGAACATGTGGGACAGCTGTTAGTCATAATAGAGTGTTGGTTGTAGAGCTCACACTGAGCAGAAGTGAAAAGATGAATCATATTCAGGTCAGTATTATTTGGGTTCTATTCCAGGAAGCAGGTTTAACTAACAACTGCAGGTTTGCTAATCCTGACACGAGGGAGAGAAAGAGAGTTAACTTTAACTCTGTGTCACTCACCAGGTTAAGAAACTCTTTGAACCTAACAGATTTCAGCAGATTTTCTTAAACAAATTATGAATTTGTGTAGTCAAAGGAGCTTGCAAAGAAAAGCGTCTGGACTTCTTTAAGTTACTTGAAGACAATGGCAACCTCAACATTGAAGTTTACCGGAAGCCCACACACACGGACCAGTACCTCCTGTTTGACTCCCATCACCCTCTGGAACACAAACTTGGAGTAATTAGGACCCTACACCACCGGGCAGAACATGTTCCCTCTAAGCC